CCCCCCCCCCCCCCCCCCCCCCCCCCCCCCCCCCCCCCGCGGCCACCGCGTCTCCGGGGCGGGAGGGGCCGGTCGGGGGGGTCCCCCCGTCTGGCGGTGACCCCGTTAGAGGGGGGTTCTCCCCGCGGGCCCCCCCGGGCCCCTCAGGCCCCCCCGGTACCTCTCGGCCTCGGGCCCTGCGCGCGCTCGGCCCCTTGTCTCGCCATGGGCCCCGCACATGCGCACGGCGCCGCCGCGCAGCCATCTTGGCGCCGGGCGGAAGCCGCCGCCTCTCCCGCCCCCCCGCGCGGCTTCGCGGCGCCATCTTGGGCATAGGGGGAAACGGCGCCCGCCGCCATCTTGACTGCGGGCACCGCGCGCCCTCGCCCTGCCCAAGATGGCGCCGCCCCGCTGCGGTGGCCGCGGCGCTGCCGCCCTGGCCGCTGTCACATCACTGTCGTATCGCGGTGGCCGCTGCGCTGCTTCACCACCCGGTTGTGGCGGCCGGTGGCCCGTCGCGGCGGCTGCTCGCAGCGGGCGGTATCCCACCATTTTGGGTAGGGGCGCTGCGCGCCGCCATCTTGACTGAGGGCACGGCGCCCCCTCAGGCGGGCGCCATCTTAGTGCGTGAGGCCGCAGTGCGGCGCCATCTTAGACGGCGAAGCGCGGCGCTTCCGCCCGCCGCCATCTTGAGTGAGGGCGGCGCCATTTTAGAAGAGGGCGGCCCCCCCTCAGGGCTCAGACCCAGCACACGAGGGGCAGCCCACCCGTCCCGACCACCCCACGGCGCGGGGGACACCTCGCCCTGCCCGGAACCCCGGGCTGGGTCGGGGGGCTGCTCTGGAAGCCCCGTCCCCAGCACCGCCCTGAGGCCACTGAGGGCGCCGCCATGTTGTGCCAAAGATGGCGTCCATATAAACAAAGGCCTGGCTTTATTGATGTGCCCATGGCCCCCTGTGCCCGTGTCCCCAGTGACCATATATCCCCACAGCCCCATGTCCCCAACGTCCACATATCCCCATATCCCACTGTCCCTATATCCCCATATCCCAATGTCCCCATGTCCCTCTATCCCAATGTCCACATCTCCCCATATTCCCATGTCCCCCTGTTCCTGTGTCCCCATATCCCAATGTCCCCATATCCCAATGTCCCCCTATCCCCATGTCCCCAATGTCTCAGTGTCCCACTATCCCCATATTCACCTCTCCCCATATCCCCTTGTCCCCAAATCCCCATACCCAAATGTCCCC